CCGCAAGACTTGTCTTTTAAAACACCCTTTTCGCTGTGTTTCTGACCATTCTTTCCACGACAGTATGTATGGATCACTTGGGTTGTTACCAACATCTGGTGAAAATTTCATGTCATTAGCACCTCTAGTAATATATTTACTGAGAAAAATGTTGACGTGTTCAATACTTATTTTACCCGCAGTAGCTCCTGCTGTTAGTGTCGCCATTAAGGAAATTTGCATTTATTAGATTATTTCTTTGTTGTAAAAATGCCTCTTGACAATAAATCTTATACTATTGGAAAGCCTGTTGATTCCCTTTTAAATGGTGCCACATTTGTAAGGAACATGCATTTGTGGGATGAGCAGTAGAGCTGAGTATGTGGGTTGCACACATGAAAAATTAGCCAAATCTTCTCTGCCAAACAACTTATTCTGCTGTTGTTATTGACACTTGTTTTAARCTTATTAATCTTTATTTAACCAGAGAAATCCCTTTGAGATCACAGGTCTATTTGCGAGGGAGGCCTGCGGAGGCCAGTCAGGTGCCCGGTGAAAGACTTGTTGCCAAGAAGCATTGCTACAACAAATAAACAATATATAAAACACACATTTCCTTACTTTTTGTGTTAAGTTAACATCCTGCAAAACCGTGAACTGTAAGTGGCAGAAGCATATTTTAATGTTCACTCTGTTTTGTTGTATGATGAGTTAAAAACACCCTTCAACTCAAGTTTTAAGTGTAATTTCTGAGCTCAGATTCAATGGATGTTAATGAGAGTTTGAACATGTACACTCTACTGTCTGAGGAGATTTAAGAACAAATAAGTCCTRACAGTGAGAAACACAGAGTGAAAGAAGACAGAAATGCTCAGGTTTTTGTGTAAAATTTGTAGAAAYAGTGTACAGTTTGTTGATGTAAGAACAGCTTCTTTGCAAAGATATTTGGAAAGTTTTGATAGCACAAAAGTTAGCTCATCATCCCGCTCCAAGTTCAACATTGTTAGAATCTCAGTAAAACAATTAAAACTGTGTAAAAATGGTAAATGATATCAAAATGCCAGTTCTGTCATGTAAAGTCCAACATCCTGTCCCGTTTAAGCCTTGAACGCTCGTGTCTCCTGTGAAGTCCGAGATGTAGAGCTCCTACAAGACAGCTGGGTTTTGCCAAAATCCCATTGTTACGTTTATTTTTTATTTATTATTTTATTTTGGCTAAAGAATATAATTCTATCCTCGATGGAGCTGTTTTACTGTACATTTCGTGTGGGTTTTTCAAAAACTGCCAGTGGAGAAGCAAATCAAAATCAGCGCCGGAGCTGGAAGATAAATGGCTGCTAATCACAAGATGTTGCACATGCTGGAGTGGAGCGGTGAAACGTGCTGCCTTTGATCTCAAATCTTCACGTCCTCTGAGAACTTTGTTATAAACCAGACATATTTTTGCTCTTAGGTGGACTGAAGGATGATCTCAGTCGGTTCTCCTTCCAGGAAACAAGTGAGGAGGAGCTTTATCACTTTTAGATCAAACAAATGGACCCTCTGGTTTGGTTTTGAAATTAATATTCAAGAAAACATTAAGCTTCCTGTTAGTGCTGTAGTCAAGACCAAGACTGAGAGAGGRCAAAACTGAGTAAAGACCAAAAACGCAGGTGGCTAACTGAAAATCTCTCAATCTAAAATTGAGAATGCGTCCACTTTTAACACATAAGAACAGCGGAAGGGTTAAAATTGTCCAACATTAAAAATATTTTCATAATAAATTTCCTTTGATAAAACTGCAGTGGGGGTGAAGGGTCAGCTCGATGTGAAATCCTTCRTATGAAGTGAAAGTAGTTTACATTGTAGCTGCAGTTCTAATAATAGTCTTTAGGTCCTGCTGCCATCTGAGACAGGTCCGCTGATGTTGGACGGCAGCTGCACATCGAGCGGGAATTAACTTCTAAATTTAGACTTTGACCTGCAAACCCAAACAGTTAGAACCAGTCAACAAGTGGGCCTGCTGTATGTACCGTGAGAACACACGTGCTTCTGTTAAAAACATTTTAAATGTCACTTGACTATAACCTTTTTACAATGTGTACTGATCACAAAAGTAAAAAAAAAATCATGAGATGTAATGGTTGGACCAGTTTCACTTTCACTCTGATCAGTGCAGATCCATTTATAGACTTTATAACTTTGTAGAAATTAAAACCAGATCTACTTTCTCCCAAGAAAAAGCAGAAAAACCAAACGAGTCGAACTCTCTGGCTTCATGCACGGTTTGTTTCTCCGTGACAGACTTTGTCCTCCATGTTCTAGATGATGATTGCCATTATCTGTGGCTCATGTATTGTGTTACCTCCATGCAAGTGAGCCCATTCACAACAAAGCGCAGAAGCATCAGGCGCTCTCAGGCACCACGGTGAACTGAGAGCATCAATGGCTGCTCTCCATACAGTTGGCTCAGCTGCTTTTCTGGCAGCTCAGTTTGCTGCTCTTTCATGGAGCCTCAGTCCTGGACGGTTCCACCGTAGCTGCACGGCTGAGACTTTAATGACCGCAGCGTTACCGCGCTGAACTCTGAGTGGCAACCGTGAGGTCAGTGCTCCGGTTCTGCCGCCTGCTGTGGTTCCTCTGCACGACTGCGGGTCACTCTGTGCCCCAGAGGCCACTGAACCAGGTGACGGGTTCAGTATGTATAATTCAGCTGAGCCGCAGGATCCGGTGTCCGTGTTGGAGCGCTGCGTGCCGACACACAATATCGCCACACGTACACAAACGCTGGATGAAGAGGAAACAATTCAATGCATCCTCTTCATCCAGAAAGTCAACAGGCAGCATCCTTTGTCCTTATGTGACCAGTCTAAAATAAAATATTAATAATAAAGTCTCAAGAGGAGTTTGAAAACTTTCTTTTTTTTATTATCTTACAAACAGGCAGTGTGGGCTTGGTGTTGGTTTTAAATTAACAATTTTTCTTCAAGTTCAGTGCTTAAAGGGATCCCCGATTTGTTGTAACATTGGTCTGTATTTGATAAACATATATTTTAACTGTAAAATAAGACTGTAAAAATACTGTAGGCTGTTTAGTTTTTATAATTTTTAAACTAAAAGTTTAAAAATATATTACACGGATGGGGCAATTTTATTTACACACAAAGCATTCTGGGTAAATGATGACGTGGATTGGTATGAGGCTGCTAGCGAGCTATATCCACCCTGAAGGTTAATCTTGGACAATATCTGATGATCGACTCTTTTAAATGAAACCAGAGAGCGTTGACAGAGAGGAGAAGGTAGAAATGACTCAGCCTGGAACTGAAAATATGGATAGAGGACAACAGAGCTGCTTCATGGAAGAAGAACCTCAGCTTAGCCTGTTAGCTTTAGCATTAGCCCCGATGCTAACACCACATATATGTATTAGCTCAGCGCTACACATTCTCCTCTCTTCACTGAGGTCCTCCATCCACATGACAGAAAGGGGAACACAAAAACGACTCAGCCTGCAACTGAAAATATGGATGGAGGACCTCAGTTTAGCTTGTTTGTCGCGCTAGCGCTGCGCTAATACACATAATATAGCGCCGGTGCTAGCGTGAAGGCTAACTTGAGGTTCTTCTTCCATGAAGCAGCTCTGTTGTCCTCCATCCATATTTTCAGTTCCAGGCTGAGTCATTTCTACCTTCTCCTCTCTGTCAACGCTCTCTGGTTTCATTTAAAAGAGTCGATCATCAGATATTGTCCAAGATTAACCTTCAGGGTGGATATAGCTCGCTCACACCGATGACCTATCCACGTCATCGTTTACCCAGAATGCTTTGCGTGTAAATAAAACGGCTCCGTCTGTATTAAAATATATATTTTAAAATTTACAAAACTAAACAGCCTACAGTATTTTTACAGTTTTTATTTTACAGTTAAAATATATGTTTATCAAATAAAGTCTAATGTTACAACTAATCGGGGATCCCTAGATTTTACTCATTTTCACTGAGGGTCACATGAACATTATGGTGGCCCTCAAAGGGCCAGATAGTAACTTCAATGTTTGGTGTTTAACTTCGACTAAAGACAAAACATGAGATTCCTCCTCTCATACAGCTGAGCACCGCTAACAAACAATAACTGAGCTCTACGTGGTATTTCATGCACTGAAACAAACACTTCAACATGTCCTCATATTAACACTGAAAAGTACTACAGGTACGACTGACTGTGAAATAAATAACACAGAAATACTTTTAAAAGTACAAGTGAGAGAGTTTTACTCACTGTTGTGTTGTGGTGAGTAGCTGCCATCTTGAATTCTGACCTCTCCCACTTTCATACAGGGAATTCTCACTGGAGGGGCGTTCCAGTTTAAATTTACAGCTTTCAAGTGGGAAATGATCACTTCCCAGTATAACTGGGCCACAGTAAAAGTAACCAGCAAATAAGGAGCAAAAAATAGATTTTTTGGTGAATTTTGCCAGCTGCTGGCTACTTTCAATCCCTGTGCACCTTCACCTAGTGGTGGGATGTTGTCCTTTTGCAGGTAAGGTAATTTTGCATTATGGGAGTTGTAGTTTATGGTCAATGCTGGCTTTAAAGCAGGATACACTTATTTTAAGATAGATATCATAAGATATTGTTATACATCTTTGAAGCACTTGCAGGCCACACAAAATGTTGTGGCGGAGTTTGACACATGGTTTTGGCTATGTCCATAACATAGTTGCCATCTTGAAGCTATCATGTTAGATCAAGGGCAAGTTTTTCCAACTATAGCCCCCCCATCTATTACTTGCAGGGGTATTCAGATACTTCATTTCCCTTTTAGTTTCTGAAATTGAAGGGCGTCCTGTCTGCTCCAGCTTCAACTCTGAAATGGACACAAACTACGAGGGTTGTTGAAGCTTTCTGCTTCAGGTTGTTTTAATAATTTCAGAGGTCACGATGACGCTCACGGGTGTGATGTGTTCGTGTGCAGGCGGGCAGTGATGGAGAAAGCATTGGGAACTGCCCCTTCTCCCAGCGGCTCTTCATGATCCTCTGGCTCAAAGGAGTCGTGTTCAACGTCACCACGGTTGACCTCAAGAGGTGAGCGTTCAAAAAGGTGCACACGAAATGCCATTCCCTTTGTTTTCATCCTCACAGCGGCCTGGTTTCTCTTTTCGTGCGATTTATGTAGGAAGCCGGCGGATCTGCAGAACCTGGCCCCGGGGACCCACCCTCCGTTCCTTACCTTTAACGAGGAGGTCAGGACAGATGTCAACAAGATTGAGGAGTTTCTCGAGGAGATGCTCTGCCCTCCAAAGTAACTCAGCTGGAAGGTTTTCTGACATGTGCTCACATCCTGCTCTAAGAGCTGTAGTTGGATTTATTTCCCTTCATGGATCTAAATTGGTATTTGTATGTCTCTGGAGCTGTTGCATTTAAATCTAAGCCCTTGACGATTTATTATTACCCACCACTGAGAGGCATATCTGCATTTATGTGTCTGTTAGCAAAATAATTCATGAACCACTTGACAAATTTTAATGAAGCTCTCAAGAAGTAGTCACTGGATATACATCTACATCTGATTAACTTTCTGATTTGACTCAATTCAAGATTGCTGCCATAGCAAACCAACATTATCAAACACAAAAATGGCAATAAGTCAGTCAGTTTTACAGATATTGAGCTAAATTTTGTTGTGTTAGTTGCAGAGACTGATCCCAAAAGCTTGATCTGTGCACTGAGAGATTGTGCAAGAACCTTCTTTAAATTTTGCCGTTAAATGTTTAGAATTAACTGTGTCTGCCTGTTAGGAAAATATCACATAAACCATTCAACAGATGTTGATTAAACTTTCAGGAAATAATCATTTGACATACATCTATAACTGATTAACTTTTGGAATCGATCCAACTTAAGATAGCTGCAACAGCTAAATGATATGAGTAAACAAAGAAGCTATAACTCAGTTTTATGGATACTGACTTAGCTGAGAGTCATTCCCAACATCACTTCACATGAAGCTGTGGATAATGTTTATTTCAAGGTTTGTCTAAAATGATTACAGCTCCGTTATTTCTCTAAAACTCGGGTTTTAAAGGCGGAATGATTTTGAAAACTTTAGATATTTTTCCGTAATTTTAACAAGTTTTACACAATATTTCTGTTTTCTGTTAAAGTTAGTGTGTGAATAGCCTAAGAAAATGTTAGATGAGTTGAATATCTTTTTGTTATTGCCTGTAGAGTTTCTTCCATTAGAAGTGATCTTACTGTGGGAACACCTCAAGGTTTTGGCTGCCAGTTGAGTCTTTTAAGTCTGAGCCCCTTCTATCCAGGTGTTAATCTCATCCAGATGTTTTGGTCCGACTGTGTCTCCTGTCTCTGACCCTCGTCTGCTCAGGTATCCCAARCTGGCCGCCAGGCACAGAGAGTCCAACACAGCTGGAAATGACATCTTTGCCAAGTTCTCAGCCTTCATAAAGAACACCAAGTCTGAGGCCAACCTGGGTGAGCCACTTACATACACTCCCACATGGGCATCCAGTACATGACATGTAAAAAAAAACAAAAAACAAACAAAAAAAAAAAACAACAGTGATGTCATTAATTTGCTTGTCCACTAGGTGGCAGCAGAGTTCAATTTTTTAGAGTCTTAAATGTAACCTGCTGTGCTGCCATCTAGTGAGATAGTTGTGTCACTTCACCTTTCAAGAACTGTCCTGTGATTTTTCTGTGTTTTTGTTTGAAATTTGTGCATTTAGTTTTAGAAAAAGCTCTAACCAAGGCCCTGAAGAAGCTTGATGACTACCTGACCAGCCCTCTGCCCGAAGAGATAGATGCAAACAATGTGGAGGAGGAGAAGAGCTCCAAGAGGAGCTTCCTGGATGGGGATGAGCTGACTCTGGCAGATTGCAACCTGCTACCGAAACTGCACATAGTCAAGGTAAGAAAATGAGTGAAAGTTTTTGGTGTTGAGGCTGAGGCTCTTTAGGATATATTTGATTTTTGCGTTTGCATTTCTTATCAAATACTATGCATCTCAATAATCCAAGTGGGAAAAAAAAGTTGAGTAGGTTGTCTGGACGGGTTCTTCTATGTTGAAAATGGTTCATCTTTGCTGAAAACATTTCATCTCTTCTTCAGTCAAGCCGAAGCTACTTGACTAAAGTTAGCTTCTGACCTGCAGGAGGCCCACACTGTGCTTAACAATGAAAACAATGTGAGAAGGAATGAAATGTAAATTTAGTATTTAGGATATTTTGTTGGTATTTCCAATTTTAAAGCAACCCCACCAACAACTGTGATAACAGAAATGAGCCCATGTAATCAGTTTTGTAATGGCTTTAAATTACTACTTTAATAGAGGATTAAATCAGCCTAACAGCTTATTAATTAATATGTATAACATACAATCTGATGGAGAACCTCCACCTTCCTCTCTTTTAAAACAGTTATTCACTGTTTTTTTAAAGGTAAATGTACTTTATTTGTCATCATTGCATGTTCCCATGTGATGACAAAATCTGTGCTCCGCATTTGACCCATAACACAGGAGAATCACCTRATTGGAGCAGCAGACAGCTGTTTAAGCTGCCCAGGGAGCAGTTGGGGATTGAKTGTCTTGCTCAAAGACACCACGACACATGGGTATAGCAGGGAGTTGAACCTGTGACTTTCTGGTCCTAAGTCCTAAGCCCTACCACTTCACTACAGCCGCCCCTGTTGTGCATGTTATTCTGAGTTGTATTGTCAAAGTCAAGTATGACCATTAAAGTCTTTTTATCATGTAAACAATTAGATAAAAAGGTTGAAGTTGACAAAGCTGTAATGCAGTTTGCTTAATATCTTCAATATAAATACATAAATACCACTGCCTTTTCATTACTCTAGCACCATACTCACCCTAAAAGTTCTTAATAAACAGGATTTTTCTTAAGATTGCCAGTTTGACTGTACCTTTGTACCAAATAGGAATAACCATTTTCCCCAGTGCTTATGTTCCCTGGTACAATACTTGAACTCTAATTCAACATTTTTTTCATAGATGATGGGGAACATATAGTAGCTATTAGGGGAACATAGGCACCAGTGAACATAGGTACCAGGGAACATAGGTATCAGGGAACATAGGTACCAGGGAACATAGGTATCAGGGAACATAGGTACCAGGGAACATAGGTATCAGGGAACATAGGTACCAGAGAATAGGTACTAGGGAACATAGGTACCAGGGAACATAGGACTATCTGAGAATAGGTACTGGGGAACATACAGTAGCTATTAGGGGAACATAGGTACCAGGGAACATAGGGACCAGGGAATGTAGATATCAGGGAACATAGGTACCAGGGAACATAGATACCAGGGAACATAGGTACCAGGGAACATAGGTACCAGGGAACATAGGTACCCGAGAATAGGTACTGGGGAACATAGGTATCAGGAAACATAGGTACCAAGGAACATAGGTACCRGAGAATAGGTATTGGGGAACATAGGTATCAGGGAACATAGGTATCAGGGAACATAGGTACCTGAGAATAGGTACTGGGGAACATGGGTACCAGGGAACATAAGTACCCGAGAATAGGTACTGGGGAACATAGGTATCAGGGAACATAAGTACCCGAGAACAGGTACTGGGGAACATAGNAGGTACTGGGGAACATAGGTATCAGGGAACATAAGTACCCGAGAACAGGTACTGGGGAACATAGATATCAGGGAACATAGGTACGAGGGAACATAGCCCCTTTTCCACTAGTGCCACTTAATGTAGTGTCGGTACGGTTCGGTACAGTTCCAAACCATTTCCATTTGGATAGATCCATGGAACCGGCACTTTTTTTAGTTCCTACTTCATTGTGGTTCCAACCGGCCCCAGCTGACACCAAAATGTAACGTCAGAACACTGTTCATCAGTGATTGGCTAAATTTTTGCAAATGTTTAAAATTTCAAAAGTTATTCATCAAATGTGTTTCCATCTCTCCTTTTGCCCATTAAATTTTTTTTCAAAATACATAAAAACCACTTCCACCAACCACCCAAAACACACCCATTGGAACCGGACTGGAACATCAGCAGAAAACCAACCGGTCCGAACCATTCTGACACTGACCGTACCGACACTACACTAAGTGGCACTAGTGGAAAAGGGGCAATAGGTACCAGCAAATAGGTACTGGGTAACATAGGTACCAGGGAACATAGGTATCAGGGAACATAGGTACCAGGGAATAGGTACTGGGGGACATAGGTATCGGGGCACATAGGTATCAGAGAACATAGGTATCAGGGAACATAGATACCAGAGAAAAGGTACCGGGGAACATGTGTACTCGAGAATAGGTACTGGAGAACATAGGTATCAGGGAACATAGGTACCCGAGAATAGGTACTGGGTAACATAGGTATCAGGGAATATAGGTACTGAGGAACATAGGTACTCAGGACTAAGTACTGTGGAAAATAGGTACCCAGGAATAAATACTGGGGAACATAGGTATCCGGGAGTATAGGTACCTGAGAATAAAGATACTGGGGAACATATGTAAAAGGGAATGTATCAGGGAACATACTGGGGAACATGTGTATCAAGGAACATAGGTACTGGGGTACATATTGGGGTACATACTGTACATACTGTATGGACATCTGTAAAGTCTTTGTTGTCTCTTCCAGGTTGTTGCTAAGAAGTATCGCAGCTACGACATCCCACCAGAAATGACGGGGGTGTGGAGGTATTTGAACAATGCCTACTCACGGGAAGAGTTCACCAACACCTGCGCTGCTGACTGTGAGATCGAGATCGCTTACAAAGACGTGGCGAGGAGACTGGCAAAATAACCCCGTCRACCTCTGATCTGAGCAAAAGATATGAGCAACACATAAAAAAAAGGAATTACACTTCTGAACATTCTGTGTATATGATTGTCTTTTTGAAGTCCTCTCCTGTGGCATTTTTCAGAAACATAAGATCTTTTGTCTGTCATAGCAAACAGGTCGGATGTCTCTTCCCAGCTCCAGATGTGATGGATTGCAATAATTCAGCGCTCTCTGTATATGGTATTTCAATCACACAGGCAGACATGGCAAAACAAGAAGTGAGACAGAATAGATCAAACACGATTCAAAAGCTCTGAAACTTCTGACAAAACTCTTTTCACTCAAACCCGATTGTGTCTGTCTGTATTTATTTCTCATAACACAAAGCTCTCTTTCATACGAACTCCACCACACAGCCAAATATTTTACTAGCTGCTGATGTCAAGGTCATTCACTTTATTTATTCCCAAGCCCACAGAAGTCTAGCCTGACTCCTGTGTTTATTATCTAGCTCCGGCTCCCGGGGAGACACCTCGTTTCATTTGTGATTGATGAGTATTGCTAAATGCTTTCTGACGCTGAGCGGCTCCACTTTGCAGTTTCTTTATAATAGTAAGTGTGGCTGTAAGGGTTTTTATGTTGGTCTCTTTAGCTTGTAAATGCACGTCTTGAGATTCACTCCAGTTGCTAAAAATTAGAATATCTTTTAGAAAATAAGTATAAATACTTGGTTATAGCAGCAAAATTCATCCATTCATAGTCTATCAAATACTATCTTATCAGCCATGACAATCAATCAAATCCAAATTAAATTTCTAGCACATGAACAAACAACCTTTCATTGGCTAATGTGCACAAAGTTTAAAGGAAAGGGAAACGATAATCATCCAGGCTAGGCTAATGGTTAGCCTAGTAGTTCACAAACTGTGGGGTAGGGACTCCTTTTCTTTCTACTAATGTGGGACCCAGCAGACAAAGTCTGAAAATCACTGGGCTAGCCAAAGCTATAAAAAACAAAAACAGTGTGAAAGGACATAACTGTATTAATGATTAAACCTGTAAACGTGCAAAACCGCTTAGTTTGTTTAGTTCGTTGCCGTTTTCTCGTCCGTGTTCGTGCCTGAATGTACCTGAGCTGAGCAGAGACAGTTATATACCGATAGTGTTGAGACGCCGTTGAACGTATGAGTCTGTCTGACTAAACAGATCGGCTTAATTAGCTTCATTTTAGCTGTTAGCCCTCATTAGCCTAGCCTGCAGTAAGACCTTTCCTCCACACTCTGACTAATGAGGTACTAACTGTTTTAAAACAGTCTCTTGTTTTAAAAATGACCAGACTATCCCTTTAAGAGATTAGAACAAACTTAGTGTTTGACTTGCTTGTGTGTGTTAACCTGCTGCATCCAAGTCATTTTTGAAAACATGTAAAACTCCTCAGCTTTGTGGCTCTATTAGACTGAATCAGAAATCCAAGCCAGTGTCACTGATATTATGACAAATTCACTGCAGCCAGAGCCGAGACATTTGTTTGGCCTCTAGCTGTAAGTATTCAGCCGGGGTATTGATTTTGTCTTAAGTTACCGCATGATATTTTAAATGGAAAGACTATTTATTTAGCTGTCCCAATCAGGCCTGATTAGGTGGAGCCATTAGTGCTGCGATGAAAAGCGTCTTCCAGGCCAGGTCCGTGACGGCGAGAAGCCCCGTAGTCCTTTAACAGAAGGATATTTCCCTTTTCTCTGACAATTCCTCTGCATAAAAGTTAAAGTTTAAAAGTTTCTAAACAGGGGAGAGTGGAAACTTGTCCTGGGGGCTTGTTGTGCTTGGCCCGGCGTCTCTGGGTTGCGAGACTTCCTCGAAGAGCCACGAGGCTCTCGGATGGTTTTGGACAAACTCATGATATGAAATTGGAGCATGRTGACTCGAGAGGGTTGCTCAAAGCAAAGCTCTGCAAATAAAATAATATTTTCACAGATTTGTTTCTGCCTTTTCCTTCTTCCTTTTTTCCTCTCCTCGTATTGCATTGATCAATCAAAATGGATACTCACGTGTTGGCGGGAAGCGAATGGAGCTGCAGGAGCAGGAAGGGTTAAAGTGGGTCTGAGTGAGCTGATCAAATCCAGCGGTGCAGGTTTGTTTCTACAGATCCAGAGCAGAGAGAGAGAGTGATGACCGCTGACAGGCTTAAATAGAGGCTTCCATGCCAGGGATCAAACGCCATCCTTCTTCTCCACTCTCTCATTAAGACGGAAAACCCGAGCGCCGCCATTCGATCTGTCTCCATTTTTCCTCAAAGGAGTCTAACTTGAAAGATCTGCGCCTGTCGGATTTACAATGCTGGGCGAGCGGTGTTTACCGAGACGCTGCCGTGCCAGAAACAACAGTCAGGGAAAATAAATGGAGCCTGCCTAGTGTTTCCACAGGAGTAAGGAAATATGGAGCGAGACTTGTGCCTTGCTGTTTGGTAATTAGTACCTAAACATCCCTGTCCTTGGATCCCATCGCTCACATGCAGCATGTCTGCGAGCTGGAGAATATACAGCGGAGCATTAACGTCAAACACGTCTGCTCGTGGGGGCCAGGYGAGCCACATTAATCTGCCTCCCAGTGGATCCACCAGTCGCTRGTCTTGGCTTGGCCACCGGACTGGGCTGACAGGGACCCGTGCRCACACACACACACACGGCGCACTTTTATAGCCACGTTTAGTAAACCTTTTCAACTCGGGCATAAATTGTGTAAATTGAGTCTTGCTTTGGGACCTCTGCTGATTAAAACAAACTGGAGCGCCTGACGTCTGAGGACCCACCAGAAGCAACGTTGTGATCCAATTAAGGACCAGACTCGTAGTTTAAAAAACACTGTCATGCAGGTCCCAGTGCACCACAGAGGAGCGAGGTGGCTTTAGCTGCTGCTAATAGTACAGATTATATCTGGGAGAGACTCTTTTTGGACACTTTTCAACTTAAATTGAGGGTTAGATTTGTTTAGAATTTTAATAGTGGAATAAATTTATTGGGTGGGCATTAATCCAATTGTCTATTAGCAAAATATTTTGTGAAACACTGGACCAGAGGTGCCCAAAGTGGGGTCTGTGGGCCAAAATTGAGCCATCACACCATTTGATTTGGCCCATCAGCAGCTGGTTACTAAATCACAAATCTCCTGTTGTCCATTGTAAAAAGACCAAATTTTCCCTAATGGTTATTAAATCTGTTGACTAAATAAGGAGTGGTAGTGCGGATAGCTTTCACTCATGTTGCTTATTTTATCTTTGAACTATGTTGAAATTAAATGGTAAATGGCTTGAACTTATGTAGCACCTTATCAAATCCACTTGGACCTCAAGGCACTTTAGTTTAGTTTAGTTTAGTTTAGTTTAGTTTATTCATTCATTTCATAAAAACAAAGCAAATTCAATATACAAAAGGTAAATGCAAATGAAAAATAAAATGAAAGGCAGCAGAAGGAAGAAAAAATTGTATATCTGCGCCTTTTTACATCAAAAGAAATTCAAACAATAATAAAAAAACAGAAAAAATAAAAAAAAACTAAAATCTTTCTTAGACAATTTTTAAGGATACATATTTCTTCAACAGACTGGATTTTACCATTCTCCTRAACTTACACATTGATCCTGCACTTTTAATATCATCCTCAAGATTATTCCACAATTTTATTCCTTGCACTTTACACTTCAGACATTAACCCATGCACACACTGATGGCAGTCAGCTACAGCCACCATTAGTATAGGTAAGGTGGGTGGGGTGTGTTGCCCAAGGACGAGGCAGGTGGACGGGGGATTGAACCAGCGACCTTCCAGTTTCCAGGATGACTGCCCTAACCACTCCACCACCAGCCGCCYAGTTAAACATGATTAAACATGAAATACACGTAACTACATGAGACATTTAGATAAGATTTAAGCACAATTTACATTTACACACTTTATCGAACCACAAATACGATTATATTATTAGATATTTTATCAGTACTCTCCAGGTTGGGGGTGAAGTTCTGCCTCAAGTGGAGGAGTTCAAGTATCTTGGGGTCTTGTTCACGAGTGAGGGAAGAATGGAGCGTGAGATAGATAGACGGATCGGTGCAGCTTCCGCAGTTTTGTTGACTCTGTACCGGTCTGTTGTAGTGAAGAGGGAGCTGAGCTGTGAGGTGAAGCTCTGTGTTTACAGATCAGYCTACGTTCCTACCCTCACCTATTCRTGAACTTTGAGTAGTGACCGAAAGAACAAAATCACAGATACAAGTGGTCGAAATGAGTTTTCTCTGCAGGGTAGCTGGACTCTTCCTTAGAGATAGGGTGAGAAGTTTAGTTATCCAGGAGAGACTCAGTAGAGACGCTGCTCCTCCACATCGAGAGGAGCCAGTTGAGGTGGTTTGGGCATCTGGTAAGGATGGCTCCTGGACGCCTCCCTAGGGAGGTGCTTCTGGCATGTCCAACTGGGAGGAGACCCCGAGGAAGACCCAGGACACGCTGGAGGGACTATGTCTCTCGGCTGGTCTGGGAAAACCTTGGAGTCCTCCCAGAAGAGCTGGAAGAGGTGGCTGGGGAAGAGAGGTCTGGGCTTCCCTGCTCAATCAAGCTGTTGTCCCCATGACCCAACTTTGGATAAAGTGGAAGATAATGGATGGATGGTTATTTCATATGTTTATGGAATGTCCCACTGAACAATGAAAGGACATTACTTTCCAAATATTTGTTTTTTTTTTTTAGGTTTTATACTGTATTAACAGTGTGCATTACCAATACAATGCACACTATTGTGATTTGTTCCCCCTCCAATTCATCCTCTCTTTCAGCATGCTTCTCCTCCTACATACTTTGTCCTAGAGCTGCCATTGTAATTTGTGTCTATAAAGCTCCTGTGCCAAATGCAGGCTATGCTTTTTGGTGCCTGTACAACTTATAGTTTTTGAAAAATTAATTTTTAAACTTTATTAATGGGTGTCAATAGAGCCTTGTATTGGTACTATACTGCCCCTGATTTATGTGCTCAGCTTGGTACTGGACCATACTTTAATACTATTTAAACTCAGTACTTGAGTGATTACAATACAATACTGCAGTTTTGTGTCAACGATCATCATTGGCAACGTTGCCTCTTTCTACAAACAGAAAAAAACACTGGGACTGTGCTTTCACACAGCTCCAACGGTCTCATGGTTAATGCCATGGACTTTCATGTGGGAGATCAGGATTCAAAACCYAGCTAAAGAAACTTTAACTAAAATTCTCTTCAAACTTCATGTTGTCACACAATTACTCTGGTTGCAAACACCTGCTGACTTGACAAGCACAAGCTGGTATAGAAATCACATTTGAACTTGCCCACAGCTCATTCTGCAAGTCCACTGCTGCAGGCAAAGGCATGCTACAATGACATGCTACAAGGCAATGCGCACTTGTTTTTACATTGTACAAACCCATGTCTAATTGCATTTGGCCTTTGGTCCCTTGGATAGATTTTCATTGTAGTTCTCTCAGGAAAAAAGTTTGGGCACCCCTGCACTGGACAGATTCGTATTTCAGTCAACCTGATTCAAGATGGCTGCCACAGCTAATCGTCCTTAGCAAAGATGTGTAACAGACTCCTAACATGATAGTGCAGACAACAAAATCTTTATTCAACTCAAACGGTGTCATGTTTTTGCTTGTGTCTGTCCATCAACACTCAAGCGTGTAATCACTGGATGCACAACTACAACAGATTAATCTGATGTAAGTTGGCTTCCACAGCCAATCAATTTTAGCCAAGACAAAAATAGGTATAACTCAGTCAATTTTGCAAAGATTGAGCTAAAATTTAGTTTGGTTGTAGCTGAGAATTATCCACAAAATATGCTTTGATGCACTGCAAAAAATGTCCACCTTACCAGGTTTTAAAATCTTACATCCAGCCCAAAAGTCTTTTTGATCTTGTTTTGAGACTGATTTACTAAACAAGA